GTTAATATCACATCTTCTGAAAACAATGGCAGTATTTAGGCCGACGTGTTTTTTATAACATGTCAACTTGGAATAACGCGACAAAGATAACGTTATACTGGCAAGGATTCAGAGGATATTAAATCTAGAACGTATAGACTGACAATTTCTTAAAGATTTGCGATTGTCTCACAAGCGTTCAAACAAAATAATTTAATATGAAGGTAAAATAGCGTTAGCAAAGAAAAAAGAAACGATTGATTGAATATTCTATTATTTAACAGGTTGGAGATGGCACAACTAGCGTAGTTTTGTTAGCAGGGGAGTTCTTGAAACAAATGAAACCGTTTATAGAAGAGGGCGTACATTCGCGCATAATAATCAAAGCTCTCCGTCGCGCGCTTCAAATAGCTAAAGATAAAATTAATGAGCTAAGCGTCAAATTAGACAAACGCAAAATGAGCAACCAGATTGAGCTTCTGGAGGAATGTGCAGCCACAGCTATGAATTCTAAGTTGATACATCAACAAAAGAATCATTTCAGCCAATTGGTTGTTAAGGCTGTCATGAAACTAGACGGATTACTCCCTCTTAATATGATTGGTATTAAAAAGGTAGGAATACATGATTTTATATTTTATGAAAGATTTTAATATCCTGGCATAATTAATTTTTGAGTGTAACATGGTTAGGTTTCTGGAGGCGCGTTGGAGGATTCGGAGCTGATTGAAGGAGTGGCCTTCAAAAAGACCTTTTCATATGCCGGATTTGAAATGCAACCGAAAACATACGAGCAATGCAAGATTGCATTACTGAACATTGAGCTGGAATTGAAGGCCGAACGGGACAATGCCGAAGTGCGCGTGGACAATGTGTCAGAGTATCAGAAAATTGTCGATGCAGAGTGGCAGATTCTCTATGATAAGCTCGATCAGATTCACAAGAGCGACGCGAAAGTGGTATTGTCCTCGTTGCCGATTGGCGATGTTGCAACGCAGTATTTCGCGGACAGGGACATGTTCTGCGCCGGTAGAGTACCTGACGAGGATCTCAAGAGAACGATGAAGGCATGCGGTGGTGCAATCTTAACAACGGTGCACGACATAAAGGACTCTGATCTCGGAAGATGCCAGACTTTTGAAGAAAAGCAGATTGGTGGCGAAAGGTAATTAAATGATATTGATCATTCAACAATCGATTGTAAGTCGATCTGACGTAACGATTTATAATTGTATGTTTAGATTCAACTTCTTCTATGAATGTTCGCGAGCGAAGACGTGCACGTTTATCCTGCGTGGAGGCGCGGATCAATTTCTAGAAGAAACGGAGAGATCTCTTCATGACGCAATCATGGTCGTCAGACGCATGGTAAAGAACGATGCGGTGGTTGCTGGCGGTGGTGCCATCGAAATGGAACTCTCCAAGACTCTACGCGATTACTCGCGTACCATTGCTGGAAAAGAGCAGCTCTTAATAGGAGCGATAGCGAGAGCTCTCGAAGTTATTCCGAGGTACGTTTGCTTTAAGGTAACAATGTTACCTTTAAGACAGAGATTTCACTTTTTAGGAGATTCACTCTAAAAATGTTAAAGAGCAAGTATACATTGTGTTCTTTGAATTTTAAATCCTCTAAGGACAGCACCATTTATTTACTCTGTTACCTTCGGAATTTTTGTTCTTTTTTTTTATCAAAAAAATATCTACAATAAGAATAAAAATTTTTCATTATGAATTTTTTGTATAATACAACTTTTGTATAATATGTATAACAAACAGAGGAGCAGAAATCGAAAAATTTTCGCTTGATATATGACTGTTTGTTTAGTACCTCAAATATATTGTGTATTGTACATAAACGTTTACAAGGTGTAGTAATTAATGATAAGTATCGATTTCAGGCAATTATGCGATAACGCTGGATTTGACGCGACGAATATCCTAAATAAATTGCGCCAGAAGCATCATAAAGGTTTGCAGTGGTACGGCGTTGATATAAATTCAGAGGATATCACGGATAACATGCAGTGCTGCGTCTGGGAACCGGCAATAGTGAAGATCAACGCATTGACTGCCGCTACAGAAGCCGCCTGTCTCATCCTTTCTGTCGACGAGACTATCAGGAATCCTAAGAGCAGCCAAGATGGCCCGCAACCTCCAATGGGACGTGGCATGGGCAGACCGATGTAATCTGTCTGTCTACTTAATTTCATCAAAACTAGAGATCTTATAACACAGTCCGTTCACGAGTGATTTTGCCAAAATCCTTCGAGAGAGAAAAGTACTCTCTAAAACTTTTAGAGTGAATATCACTCTTAAAGATTGAAATTCCACTTTAAAGAATTTAGAGAGTAGATATGATTTTTTCTTATATATACAGGATGACCCATTTTAATCTATCACTCCAAATATTTCCGTTCCCTTGCATTTTACAAGAAAATATTTCAGACAAAAGTTGTATGGTTTCAAGGGGACCATAAAATGGTATCATTGGTTTGACCTTGGATAGTCGCTTAAAGGTCACATAAAGGTTACCTTCAATTTCTTAAATTAAACCCACTATTTTTCATTACATATTCTTGTAGCTTACCTCGAGAGCTTTCCAAAACACTATATAATAAAATATTTTTTCATTAAGTATTTTTCGAGTTATAAGGCTTGAAGTTACAGTACAGCCGCTATTAGCATTACGCGAGTTGTCCGACCGACGGCTAAAACCTCTTGAATGTTGTTCAGGATCATGTCCTGGATAATATTTGTCAAGATCAAGGCCATTGGTGATTATACCTCTTATTTTCATTTTTATGTAAAAATGAATTTTTAGTGCAAAAATGAAAATAAGAGGTACAGCCTGAAATTGATCCAGAACATAATCCTGAACAACATTCAAGAGGTTTTAGCCGTCGATCGGACAACTTCCATAATGCTAATGCCGGCTGTAGTATAACTTTCGAGCCTTATAACTCGAAAAATACTTAATGAAAAAATATTTTATTATATAGTGTTCTGAAAAGCTCTCGAGGTAAGCTACAAGAATATGTAATGAAAAATAGTGGGTTTAATTTAGGAAATTGAAGGTGACTTTTATGTGACCTTTAAGCGACTATCCAAGGTCAAATCAATGGTATCATTTTATGGCCCCCTTGAAACCATACAACTTTTGTCTGAAACATTTTCTTGTAAAATGCAAGGGAACGGAAATATGTGGGGTGATAGATTAAAATGGGTCACTCTGTGTATATGTATGTATGTGTATGTGTACTATCTCACTCTACTTATACTGTTTCACTCTATGATTTTAATTACGATTAGAGAGTGAGATATATATATATATATATTATAGAGAAGAAATTGTACACATCTTTCTTTCATACGATTTTTGACAAAATTGCTTGTGGCCAGACAAGAATACAGGGTCTTTAATCAAGACTAACTGTAAGAGAACTATGTAATGTGAAATGAAAGCATAGTTATAAATGCGAGCATTATGTCGGATCTTTGCAGCCTTGTCTCTCGTCACCTTTTGTACATGCTAATATTTATAACGAATCACAATAAGTTAACGGATCATTTCCTGTTTAAAATAAAAGCTTATTGTTCCTTAGATATGCAAAAGCACGTGTATCCACGAAAATTACATAAATGTTAAGTGTCCTTAATTTTTTCCATCCATATTTACGTCTTCTTACCGAATCTCCATTGAGACTCTTAAACTTTCCATCCCATTTTTCTTTCAAATCTTCGCGCGAGTGATCGAAATTTTGAAGCATGGATTTCGTCAATTTGAATTTTGGAGCACACAATCCGCAATTCGATTTCTGAAGTTTCTAGTTATTTGAATTTTCGCATAAAGTTTAGTGCTATATATTAAAGAAAGAAGAAGAAGATCTGTAGTCAATTCGATCTGTAAATTCTGATCAATAAAGATTCTCATTTGTTCCAATGTTTTAATCTGCGTTTCCGAGAATTGTCGAGAATCGTTTGCAGAGGCGTTAAATACCGCCGCTGCGGTCGCTAATCGATCGAGCTCGAACAGTTGCTCTATCAGGTCACTGAAAAATCTTCCGCGCACGAAAATCCTTCAATGGCTTGATAAGATCAATAACCATAAAGGAAATACAGTTCGCACCTGATTGATCTCAGGCATATCTGGAAGTCAATTGTGTATTTCGAAATGAGGTAAAAATTACAAAAACAACCAAATATATTAGCATATTTATAATTTCATTGATCAATATCTAGTGAATTCGCTCACTTTTCTAATTTTCACCTCGTTTAAAGGTACATAATCAATTCCCTATAGAGCGAAGTGTACTTAAGGCATTCTATGTCAAACCGAGCACGTTTGAAACATCATTTTTATTTTTTTTTTTTATTGCCATATTCTACAGATAAATGTTTTGCGAAAAAATTTGAGATTTTTTTTGTAAAGTTATTCACGCTTGTAAGTTGCAGCAATTCATAAAAAACATCGCTCATGTGTGAACATTCAAATTATTATATCGTCATATAATTTTATGTAATTGTATATATATAAACGGACATATTTTACATAATTGTATATAATTATATATAAAATATGTCCATTTATATACAAATATACAAAATTATATATATAATTTTATATCATTTTATATAAAATTATATATAAAACATTTTTTCTGGGCAATCATAGTCGAATAATCGAAAATAATAGTAAGAAGAATAATCGACTATAATTGCAATGGTCAATTTTCTACGATTTGAGATCTTACGACCGCTACGACTTCTATTGTAGACATCGTATTAGTTACTCGGGTAAAGTTTCGAAACGCAGATCGATAATTTCCTCTCGCCGAATATAGAGTATACGTATTTTTTTTTTTTTTTTTTTTTTTTTTTTTTTTTTTTTAGTAAAAAATCTTCCATTCTCATTCATTTTCAAAAATCTTCCTTCGACCTTCCGATGGATCTTAAAATCTTCCAATGGAACAACATTGTGCTCGAAGTGAAATTTGAAAGGGGCGAGGGAGGGGGCACGTCGAACTCCTGCTTGCACGACGATCCGTTTGGTGGCTTTGTGAGTTGTAAGCCGTCGGCGAACGGGGGAATTCGCGCCTTTGGCCTCTTTAACGTTAGTCGACGTCGTGCGACATCGTGCTACAATTACAATTATAGCGAGCCGCGAGGTCAATGCCAGCGACGACGACGAGAGTGACGGAACAGGCAATGATGATCATGGATGATAGCACGGCGGCCACAATCTCATAGTCGCAGGTATAAATACGAGATTCCTTCCCTCTCCCCTCCAGCTCGTTCCCTCCTGTCGTCCAACCGGTGTGCGTCCGTTCACCGTGAGACGCCGTGTGAGCCGTGAGCGGTGTGAGACTGTGAGACATGTCACATCCTCTAGGACCACGATAACGATGGCATCGCCTGACAAACCGTTGGATGGGATCGAATCACGTTTCGCACGTGCCGTTGACGAGACCGAATGGATCCCGCTGTCTCTAACATTGGTGGAGTATCCGCAAGGTCAGTACGAAAGCACGGCGTCTCTCATTAGGCTTGTTCTTTTTGGCTGAACTTTTGCACCAGTTCATCTTTCTTCCTCTTCTTTCCTCCTGGAGAGAAAAGGAAGAAAGATGAACTGGTGCAAAAATTCAACCAAAAAGAACAGGGTCATTGTCAGCATCCCGAGCTTTCACCTTGCTTCGTTACCAATGGTTTTACACATTGCCATGATCATATAGACAAAACTTAGCCAGGCATTTACTCATATCGTAATATTTCATTATATGCAGATGTTTGTAGAATTTATAGAAATTGATGTTATGTGTTAAAATACTCAAGAATTTCTGAAATTGTTTTGGATAAAAAGTTGTCAACATATGCTTATTAAACTATTTAATTTATTATTGTTTATTATTGTTTTATTTGTTTTTCAAACTATTTAATATCGTTTATTTAATTTATATTACTAAGCTTTGGATATTCGATCTTTTGATCAAATTTAAGAAAAGACTTGTGTATTTGAAATTATAAAAAAATATCTGTTTCTGACAATAATGTATGTTGATAAATTTTCAGGGGATATCTTTGGGCAGCTTTTGGCTGTAATAAGTTTAATGCCCTTTGTCATTATAACTGGTTTTATCACATTGATACTTTTTAGGAGGGATTTACATACTGTAAGTTAATTATAATAATATATATAGATCAATTGTCTTAATTTATGTATATTTAATTTATGTTCACAAATATAACTTATTCTTTAATTATAGATCGTATTTTTTATCGGAGTCGTTATCAATGAATGTATAAATTATATATTAAAACACATGATTCGTCAAGCAAGGCCGATGAAGAGAGATGGCCTGTACGCCGAATACGGCATGCCGTCTACACATGCACAATTTATGTGGTTTTTCGCTGCATACGCAACACTTTTTATATACTTTAGGTAATGAAGTATCACAAACGACTTTACGATTACATCATTCGCTCTTGTCAACTCACTTATGCGTTACTTTCCCTCTCTTCCAGATTAAATTACAACTGTACGATAACTGAGAGATTTTGGCGGACAATAGTAGCGATAGGATGCATTGTCACAGCTTTATTGGTAACTTACAGCAGAGTGTATCTGCTGTACCACTCAAACACCCAAGTAGTTTGGGGTGCATTAATTGGGATTACCCTGGGATCAGCGTGGTTCCTAATCATGCACATGATCCTAACACCATTTTTTCCTATAGTAGTCTCGTGGTGAGTATCAGGAAATGGTGTAATAATGGCGATAATGGCTGCATTCAGCAGAGGACACAATTTTGCAACTGTTCTAAAATTCTTTAATATATTGGCCTTGCCCGTAGTTCCTCATTGGATCTAAATGTGTAAACCAACAATATTAAAGAGTTTTACAACAGTTGAAAAGCTACTTTCTGTGATAACCGCTACTTAATAATGTCATTCATGCTATTCTTCAGGCGAATATCATGACGCGACGCTGATCCCTAATGTCTTGTGGTTCGAGTACACAAATATTCGTACGGAAGCTCGGGCACGAGCGCGAAAGCTATCGGCAATCGGCAGGTCACATTGACAACTAATTATGGTATCGGCCAGTAAGCCGATCGCTTATAATAAATGCCTTTGTAACAAACAACTCAAAACATTAAACTAACATTCCTGCGTTGGGGGATTAACGCGAAAACACGTTCGAAGTATTCAATCCTGTTACCAGAGACGATTTAAGTTTCACGAATTCCAATATAAACGTGGAACTAATTATGAAATGATCATCATTGCGATGTGCATCATCATCCAACATTGTCGTTATTATGATATTTATTGTCTATTATTTATACTAATACGTTAATATATTAAGCTGTTTTTAACGAGAAATAATTGGAGTAACAGCGGCATCGAAGCTGTGGCGCAAGTGCGTATCGATTTGAGACTGCTGGAAGGATGTTGTGGAAAAAATTAATGGATACGACCGTCACACTTGTAACAGGTGGCTGGCATGGCGAAGATTATTAAATTAGTCATCAGATGCGTTTGCACGTTCAAGCACGATTGTATTTCTAGCGAGTTACATTCTTTTTAAGGTCTCGCATCTTATTCTACGGTACTGTTTTATACAAACTCCCAAGAGGCATGTATCACCTGTGTGCTAGATCCTCTCTCCATGTGTTCCTAATAATTAAGTAAAGAACGAAATAATGTGTGGGATGTATGCAATGTTCTGTTTAAATAAAATTGGAGATTCGGAAACAGTTAGTCAAGAGGAAACAGCTGCGAGGAGAACCAATTCTCTCAATAAATCTGTTTCTGAATGAACATCCAAGTACTTCATCAGTGTACGTTATGTGATGTTTCGCAGCGATTCATTCCAGCGTATTTACGAAAATTGGGATATTCATTCGATACATATTCATGACTCATACATTGTACAAGATATACATTTTTTTTAGAAATGTGAGAGGAAGATCAGACTGGAGTACAACGGAGCATTATGGAAATTGTTGAGTTAACAAAATTTGATTGTATTAGACATAAAATTGCAGTACAACGTAGTTTGACACGTTTGTATTCCAGGCGCGAATCTTTCTTGTTCATTGTCGAATCATTATTTATGAGATTACTGCCCGAGGATCGTCATATCAGTCTTTTTCTATTTTTTTTTTCCAGAGTTAATATGGTAATTGTATTCAAGCATTTTAATTTCTGGAGCAGGGACATGTCAGACAGCATTAATAGTTAGTCGGATAAAAGTTAGCGGGCGAATTATATGTAGTTGTTATATATGATCTTTTTTCTGAGAAAAAGAAAAAGGATGTTTGCATTTTGTTAATGGAACTCAATAAATGGCACATAAACAGTGCAGTCGGACGTGGTTTTGTGAAAATCTTGTATAAAAAAGGAGTCGTCTCATTTCACGACTGACTACATTTAATAAATATATTGCCACACACACACACATAACAATAACTTTTTTTAACAAAACCATTAAAAATGGCACAATACATCATATTAAATATGTGTACATTTCGAAAATTACAGATAATGATACATGACGTGCGGATCATGCGATACTTTTAAAGTTTTGACAGACAAATATAACGACCTTGTGTTCACTTGTTTTAAATGGATTGATAAACAAAATATAGTATTGGCCGACAGGCATGAGGCACGAATATCTAGACACGATACGCCTGATTGAAAATTCCTAGTACCTCTAGATTCCGGAAGTTGCTGAGGTATTTAATGAATCCTACGACAAAGCACAGGGAGCGTGGGAGACACAAAAAGAAAGAGAAAGAGGGGGGTTGGGTGTTTGCTTGCTAGGAAGAGTTCTCGATCGCGTGAAAGATCTAATTCGCGAGGATGGATTTCAACGTGAAGAAGCTGGTGAAGGATGCGGGAGCAGCCCTCAGCAGGGTCGTGCAGGTGGGAAACCTTCTCTTTTCTTCTCCGTCCTATCTGGAAAAAGTCTGGGATCCGCGCCGAGGAAACGCAACGTCGAACGCATTTCGAATCCGTTTTCGGAGTTTGTCACCGTTGACATTCAACGCCCGAAATCGATGATTAAACGCGTTTGCACGTCATTGGACAATGGATGGCTTCCTTGGCCGCTCCTCGTTCTTGTCGAACTGGAATCCACGTCCAATGTCATCTCGTTTAACTTAGATCCCTGGTTTCGTCTCGACGTGCAACATCGTCAACCAATACCAATGACGCTGCTCTTTAATCAAACGAGAACGCGTCATCTTCCTCTGATCATGCTGTATTAGCATCGCAATAATGACGCGGACTTTGAACGCGAACCGTAAAACCGCATTTATTCATTGGCAACTATGTTTTAAGAGCATTAGAGATACTATATATTAAGGGCGTTGCTATATATCAAAAACGTTAGAAATTGCCAAGAAAATTTAAAATTATCATGTTTGCTCTCTCGTGTCTCTCAGATGACAGAAGAGACGCTGGGTACTTCAGAAAAAACCGAGTTAGATGCGCATTTGGAACACCTAGCGGAAAGAGGAAATGCCACCAGAACATGGACGGAAAAGATACTGCGGAATATGGAAGCTGTGCTTACTCCAAATCCTGGTATTCAATTTGAATTAATTTAATTAGATTTTAATTTTGATAAAAAATCAATTGTCACAATATACTTTAACATTATTTAATAGAATCTTCTATATGTATATTTCATCATTAATTTTAAGATGACATATTTTGCAGGTAATAGGATTGAAGATTTCTTTTATGAAAAAATTGATAAGAGGAGACCCAACAGGTTGAGCAATTTGGAGTATGTAGGCACTGATATGATAGAAGCTGGAAATGATTTTGGTCCAGGAATAGCTTATGGTTAATGTCAAATACATTCTCATAAATATACACATATATGTATGATGCAAGAGAACTTGATGTAAAATTTGATTTTAGGTAGCTCATTAATAAAAGTCGGTCAATGCCAACAGAGATTGGGACAGATCGAAAGGGATTTTATAGGAACTGCCGCCAATTGTTACATACAGCCTTTGAGGAAGTTCTTGGATGGAGAAATGAAAACTGTCAGCAAGGAAATGGCGATATTGGAAACCAAAAGGTAAAAATCGCTTATTCCTATTATGCATACTAAAAATCTTATTAATGATGTTAAATGATTTTAATGTAGATTGGACTTGGATGCATGTAAAAATAGAGTAAGGAAAGCGAGGAGCATGCTGGGTCAACAGAGTGTAAGTACTGTTAATTGTCGATACCGTTAAAAAATTATTCTATACGTTTACGATGTGTTTTGTCCTCCACACTGCTGCAATTTATAGGAGTCCGGCATATCACCTGAAGTGTTGCTCGATCAGGTATTAATGCAATCGATAGTTTCGCTTGTTTTCTCAATTCAGAGAAATCCAAACCCAATGCGATTGCATCAAGATTTTTATGGCTATTGTTTAGGAATATATATTAAATTTTATAGATATTCAAGTGCTTCAAAATGCTAATGTTCTTGTCATGTTTTATATATCGCATTATCATAATAGTTTCATAATCTGTATATACATATGTAAAAGAACGGTAGTAACAATTGTTAAATTGTAAAGCGACGCAATCTTTCTTCCGATACGAATCAATAGCGATAGCTATAATCATAGCTACATCATTTTAGTTTCCTGACTTCATCTTAGATAACAGATACTAAAATATATACAGAAAATAATAAATAAAATGTATATATTGCTCACTCAGGCAGAGAGGGAGCTGAGGGTAGCGCAATCAGAGTTCGATCGACAAGCAGAGATCGTGAAATTGTTGCTGGAAGGTGTTTCGAGCTCACAGACCGGACATTTGCGATGCCTGCACGAATTTGTAGAAGCGCAAGCACGTCATTACGCGCAATGCCACGCCGTCATGCAAGATTTACAGCGCGAGCTTGCCGGGTAAGTTGGTTGCCTTCTTTACCACTTTTTGGCTTTTTTTTCTTTTAAAAATATTCTATCTACTTACTCTATCATTCGATCTGTATTTGGCACGTTATTGTCCTCGTGCAGCGTACTATTATTGCAACATTTCTGTACAGCTATCCTACCTTATGGTGATCCGAGTGAGTAATGTTTGACAAACCTTGAATGTTAATGAGTATGTTTAGATATCGATTCGTAAACTCCGCTTCTCCTTATAGCAATCGCGGGCATAGATTTGGACAAAAAGACGCGATGAAATTTTTTATGATGAAAACACTGCACAAAAGATGCAGCTTTGATGGTTTGACGAACATTACCTATTACAGCTGGTTTCAACAACGTTAATTAATTTTAATCTTTAATCGACTGACAGTAGAATTCAAGTTAAAGTTTCAAGATTGCTTGATCTCGGTGAAACCGTCTGTGATCAATTATACCAGATCTAATGCCGACATGATTTAATTGCTTCCGTATCAGCATCCTGTCCTGAACATTGTAACAATCGCTAGTAATAGATGTAAATTGGTTTTTTTTTATTATCTGATTACTCCTTGCTTCCTCGGCCTTCGTGCAATCTGTTGGAATGTGTTCTCTCCCGCTACTCTCTATCTCTGCTTGCACGATTGGTAATTGCAGGGCGCGTCAACCGAGCCCTTTGCTGAGAGTCAACAGCGAGGAAGTGATCGAGCTAAATCCTTCGCCTATTCTCCCTCAAAATTCGCCCGTAACCGCCGGATCTGCCGCGTACGTTACCGCCACATTCGACACTGATATCAGTAAAATTTAGTTTTCAACCCTTCAAATATGAATATTGACGGGCCATTACGAATTTCGAATCCAGTTGGCAATTCAATTAACGGATCTACGTTAACTATCATGCAATTTTTCCATTTTAGCGACGTTTGTTCAAGTTACACGTACACGTTAAAAAGCTTGATTCCGATTGTCGCTTAATCGTTGCAGACTTGTTACCTATCAATAACATACTCTAAAATATTGTATAATTGTATATGCAATTGTATATTTAGGTAAATAGGACGGGAGTATCTTTCTCGATAAATTTCTTTGTGAACGATTTACGGCGATTAGTGCGGTTTACATATCTTATCTTCATCTTCTTCTATACACTACTCTATACTACCTCTTATTGTTCTTGTATTACCTTTCGAAAACAGTTGCTTTGGATCGCCGTAACTCGGCCGAGAATGGCCATAATGGCATCAAAGAGAAATTAATCCTGATGCGCCATGTAACTAAACAACAACATAAATGTAGACACATCACGCTTTTCTTGTTTTTATAGGTTTTACTAGGATGTTGATAATTTGCCTGTATTATGTATTGTGGAGGAAAGAATAAATTTTTTCATTCTTTCCATAATATTGGGAAATATCGGAGTAAACCATGTAACAATAATGCATGTAATTGAACCAGTAGAATTGAAAACACATATCACAAGATAGAAAACACAACCCGCAAAAGAACAGACTAATTTGCTGAATAAAAAATATCTTTAATGCGAAATTCGATCTCTTTAAATTGCATGCATTCTAATCCAATTCACCACAATCGAATACTTATTATCTTGCTCAATGTCAAGTAACGATTATGTAGAGTTCTGTGGTGAGTGTGTGCCTGATTATAAACGTGAAACGATATTACAATATATTCACGTTGTACAGCAGTGTATGATCCTCATAAAAAGTCGCTTAAAAGTTTAATTGTCTCCTACCCTCACGTTTCCTTCGTACATGAGTTTATATTACAAATGAGATTATAGCACTATAAATTCACTTATCGTTTACCCTACCCAGCCTATTTGGGGGTCCCTATTACACCACCCCACCAGTCACCACCAACGCACTAGCCGAGAACGGTCAGGACAGAGCAAGAGTGTTGTGCAATTACGACGCGAGGGATCCTAGCGAGCTAAGCGTCATGCAGGACGAGGTAACAAAGTTTGTGATTTAGGTACTCAACAGCATGTTTGGCGATGTCTCGAGCGAAGGGCATGAATCTGTAGTCGGGTTAAGTTACGGTATTGTAAGGTCATTTACTTATAGTTTTTTTTTTAATCACTGTATAAATATGTATTGTAGAGAGATTTTCTTTTGTATCTTCTTCGAATCATCGTGTAAGACTCGTTTTAGGCTTAAATCTTTCGGGACTGTCGCCGATTTTCGATTCTCGACCCAAGCTCTGAGAAAAAAAATTCATACCCGACGCGTCCAGAGGTCCCCTCCCGAAAGGATTAAGATACTGTCCCGAGATGTTAAACTTCTTTTAATACGCGTTATAGAGTTAAGTATTTGTTATTATAAGTACATGTGTCAAATTGAGACGCTCATATATAACTCTTGTATAACTTTAAGAGCTCTCTGTTAATATTAACAACATTGTACTGATGCATTTATTTTCAAGCAGCTAATATTAACTTGTAAGATATTAGATATTGTTCTCGAAAGAAAGCTTGAAACACTCGTATTCTCATGTATTGTAAAAAAAACAAAAAATGCCGAAACTTACTATAACACTCCTGCAATGCATTGATATCAATACAAAAACTATTAGGAAAAATCATTTTTGGAATGTATGCACGCTAAGATGGAAAACAAGGACAGTGATAACTTTTAGCAACATTAATAATACATAAATTGTTTTGCAAAGTTTCGAGAATATCATGAATATTTCAGCAATCCTTTAAAAAAATAATTTCTATCTTACGAATTGTGTAAAACATAATACGAAATATCGATTAATCAAGTAATTCGCCTTAAAAAATCTATTTATTTTCATAAGATTAACAGTTATATCCGCATCCTAATTGTACACACTAAATTGTATTATATTGTACATGCTAGACATACAGGATGACCCATTTTAATCGACGGATCCAAATATTTCCGTTCCCTTGCATTTTACAAGAAAATGTTTCAGACAAAAGTTGTATGGTTTCAAGGGGGCCATAAAATGGTACCATTGATTTGACCTTGGATAGTCGCTTAAAGGTCACATAAAGGTCACCTTCAATTTCTTAAATTAAACCCACTATTTTT